TAATAATAATAATAATAATAATAATAATTAATAATAATAATAATAATAATAATAATAATAAAATAATGAAAATAATTAATAATAATAGCAATAATAATAATTAATAATAATAATAACACAGAGAACTAATTTAAAAATGCAAAAGTTTATAATTTTAAGGTTAGTAGCTATTGTGATAAGAAATGTTTACATCTATCTATTTGGTTGCCTTCTTTTTTGTCATTATTTAAGATAATCATTTAATAAATTTATTATGCAGCATATTTCTAACTTAATAACTATTATCCTTTTTTGATATATAATTTATGGCAAGTAATTTCAGTATCTATCATACTATTTCTTAGTTGTCATCCAGATAATATTTAGTATATTATAATTTCTTTCTAAATAAAAAAAACAAGTTCAATTTAATACTGATATATCAAAAATGTAAAACTTATAATAAAAATAAGAAATTAAAAAGAAAAGAAGAAAAGAATGAGGAAATATTACAACCTTAGTCATAAATGCGATAGCATCAAAAAATGTTGCACCATAAACGCTAAAACGCCAACAAATTTGTAAAAATTCTTGCTGTAATTTGATTAAATTAGTTCGTTTACGTGCTTGATGTTCATATTCAATCCGTGAGCGCATTTGTCTCAGATTATTTCCTTTCTCTGGTAATCGATGTATTGGTATTACCGTAGCTAATATTTGATCACTATAATAAAATCATTACATAATAACTACATCGATTTTTAATTATTCAAAATTTTTTCTTCTTTTTTTTTAATTTATTCATCCATAAATCTTACATAAAAGATCGGAAGACAATATAGTATCACATACAGAATATGATGCTATATTTTTCAAACTTCTTTTTTCTTTCTGAGTAATATTGTGAAAGTTTTTTTTTTTTTGCATAAAATATTTGCCATTAGAATGAAATGTTTGTTTAGAATTACTTCATAATTATTTTAATTATATTAAATTACTACTGATTTAAGAAATTAATTTAAATATTAATAAAGCTTACGTTAGTTGAATATTAGCGCCATAAATGATATGTAACATAATAGCAGCAAGTGAAATGAGGTCATGATCCGAACATGGATACAATCCTTTTAAATAATTAAGACGGCATTCATCGTATAGTAATGAAAGTGCCATTGGTGTTAATATTGCCTTAATATATCAAATAAATTAATAATAATAATATTATAATAATAATGATAATGATAATAACAATAATAATAATAAAAATTAGGTAATTTACAAAATTCGAATTATTTCATTCAATACTGACAGTAATTTCATTATTAAATTATTGACTTCATTTTCAAATGTTTAATATAATTTTTGCATTTTTTTCCCAATTCCTTAAAAGTATTATAAAACAATATTAAAATTGCATTAATATATAATATTAAAAAAATTATATAATATTATATCCAATTAATGCATTATTACATCCTATGGTACTATCCTAAAATTACAAAAGCGATTTTTTGTTATCAATTAAGTTTTTCAAAAAAAAGGCATCTGTTTATATATTGTAATTATTATAAAATAGTATTTAAAAAAGTGTTGCGAAAAGATATTACAAAAATTGCATTAAATAGTTATTCACAAAATAAATTAATTAAGATATTAAATTGATGATGTTTTTGACTGGTAGTAGTTTTTTTTCTTCTTTAATTTCATAAAATGTACACTTTTCCTTCTATAACTTTTATCCAATTAAATATTAAAAAAAAGACTTATTTATTTTTAATAAACTGCTAAATGCCAATAAATGCCAACAAATTTTATTGTTTATTTTTAATAAACTGCTAGATGCCAATAAATACTGTAACAACTTTTATTGTATTTGATTTTTTAACAAAAATTTTAATATGGATTTTTTTTCAGCTTAATGTAATTTTGTTAAAATAAATTAATTTAAAATAAACTAAAATATTGTTCATACCATTTTTTCCTTTTGTAAAGTTAAACGTGCATCACGACGGAAGAAAATTTTGGTGCATCATCATCAGTTGATTGCAATTCTTCATTTCCAAATTTTGCTATTTTACTTTTCCATTTATTCATATGCAACATCGGCTTATGATCAGCTTTTAATTGCAAACCTGAAAGAATATTTCAAAAAATATTTTTCATCAATAAGTTTGCACAAAAAAAAAATTATTCCCATCTAAAATTTGATATTTGATGTTTTACCAATTATTAATGAGAAAAATTTTTTGTAAAGTTTAAAATTTTAATAAATTTAAAACTTTTGAAAACAATAATATTCATATATATGTTTCTCTTTTTGTTTAACAGTAAACATTAACAAACCTACTTAAACGATCGGAACAAATCCATATTGCAAATAATTTTCCACTATCATTATTAAATTTTAATTCTTTGCACATTTCCGCATGCAATTCTTCAGCTGTTGTATCATGACCATGTGTTAGGAGTAATTGCGCATTACCACCATCCATTAATTCAACCTAAAATGTAAGAAAATAAAAAACAAAATATCTTAACTTAAATAGAAAAACAAATATTTATAAGATGAATGAGTTTTAAAATGTATGCTTAATAGCTTGCATTCATTTTTTTTTCACCTGTACTTTATTAAGTCGTTTCCAGTTCAGTAATAATTTTGCCACCTTTTGATATTCTATTTTAGGTACACAAGCGCATATATCTATTGGACATCGTCCACTACTATCTTTTGCATCCTTAAATAATAAATTAAATAAACAAAATTAAATGAATACAGAATTAATTTTTTAAGACGTAAATATATGCCTAAAAAAAATATAAAATTTATTTTAAAGAAAAAAGAAACGGAAAGAAACAGACATGCATTATCGCTAAAAACTGCAACGTACGTATTTTTAAAATTATGTATTGCAGCGTACGTATCAAATTAAATACATATAAAAGTGTACATATTAATTACGTATCATTTAAATTACGTATCGTGGCATACATATCACTTAAATACATACAACAACGTACATATCGCTTAAACACGTGTCACAGCGTATGTACAGCGTATGTATCACCTGAATACGTGTCGCGACATATGATCACTTAAATGACATACCACGTTAATTTTTGAATGTGAAAGTAACAATTCAACCATATAAACATTTCCTTGTAATGCTGCAAAATGTAATGCTGTTGAACCAACTTTATTTGAAGCATTTACATCCGTTCCTTGATGTAATAATAATACCTGAAATTGATTAATTAATAATTAAGTATTTTAATCCTACAGTTGAGTTAAAACTTTCAATGTAAGAAGAATTCGACAAAATTTTCATACAATATAACTATTAGTTTTCATATTTACTTAAAATAAATGTAGTGTATGTAATGAAATTATTGAATTGCAATAAAGAAAATAAAAAATCAGAAAATTCTTTTTTTCTTTTTTGAATATTTCCTCTTTTCTTTTAATTTCTCACAGATTGTAATATAAAAAAGTAAAATTTCTAGGTAGTCATATAATTTTCAAAAAGAAATTGTTATATTACCTCTGTTGCTCGTAAGTTATTATAAAAAACACCATAATGTAATGGTGTCCAAGATGCGTTATCTTTTTCATTTGCTATCATACCTTGTGCTAATAATCGTCTATAATAAATCTTTTTTTAATTAAGTTTAAATTTTTTATTTTTTATTTTTATTTGAAGTTAAGTTTCAAATTTAATTAAAATTTGATTCTATACATTTGATTAAAATTTTAATTCAAATTTTAGCTATAATAAAATTGATTATTTCAAATTAAATATTTACACCTTATATCATCAACATTATCATCATGTGCAGCTTTATGTAGTGGATATTTTTCTGACCAACATTCACCACTTGAACTTGATGACGATGATGCATTTTCTCGAAGTAAATCTTTTGCATAATATTGTTGCTATAAATTAATTAACACTAATATTATTACAATATTTCGTTGCATAAAAATATCGCAAAGATTTCTCATATGAATTTCACAGCTAATTTAATTATAAGCACATTTGTCATATCATGAAATTAACAAAAAAAAAAGAAAAATTGAATTTTTGATATAATTTCGGTATTATTTTTCAATCTCATCATAATTCAATCTTATTCAACTGGAGATGAAAATGATTAATTTCAATTTCCATTAATGCTTAATTATTATCATAATACAAAGTGGTACTAAATAACATACCATTAATAATAAAATATATCATATCATACCTTTATCTATCATTATTGCAATTTTAGTTCATGCTAAATTTATTTTTCAGTAATTTTACTTCGGACTGAACTTACTTTTCAGTAATTTTACTTCTGACTAAATTTTTTCAGTAACTTTAGACATTTTACTTACTTTAAAAATATATCATATTTGTCATAACTAAAAACGAAAAAAAACAAACAAATCTAACTATTATTAACCTCATTAGCATTAGCATAATGTAAACCGGTACCAAAAATTGGATTAATGATAAACATATCATATTTATCATAACCCATCATTTTTGCTTTTGCATTATTACTTCGGCGTACTTCTTCAGCCAAATCACATGATTCTTTTGTAATATTTGAATTTCGATCATAATCCATTATTCGTCTATGAAATAATCAAAAATAAAGAAAAAAAATGAAAACAAACAGATAAAAGCTAAAATAATTTTGTAAAATATTTGAAAATTATTGATAAATTCTTTTTTAATAAAAATGTAAAATACATTTTTGTTTCAAATAATTTAAAGTATTTCTTTTTTCCATCTTTTCATACTATTAATACTAACTTTTTGTTTCTTTTTTTTTCCTTCAAGAAAATTGTTCTTTAACTTTTCAAAGTTTCGCCCTTTCGATTTTTGTCTTTTAATTATCTTTTAACTTATTAAAATTTTAAAATGCATATATTACAATATATGAAAAACATATTAATTTAAAAAATAATATTTTTTCTATTTTTTATTTTATTTTTTAAATCATTAAATATAGCTTATACGAAAAAAAAAAAATTGCAGTCTTTTAAACATATTATTTACAATCATTTTCAAAAATTATTTGATGAAAATTAAAATTAATTTTAAATTTAAATTTTAAAATGTTTCATACTTATGGCATAATGAGGAATGCTCATTTTCATATGCTGGATTATGCGCACATTCACGTATTCGTATCTTTGCAGCTGATAGAAGAAAAAATCGTGCCAAAAAATCCGTATCTTTACATTCCTGATCATGAAGCCATCTTAAGATATCAATAATTAACAACTGTTTCAAAATAGCATTAATAGCTTATTCATTTAGAAATTAATTAATTAATAAGTAAATAAAGAATACATGTTAATTTCTTTCCAAAAATTTTCACCATTTATTAATTATCAAAAAAATATTAATCATCACTAATTATTTAAATTACTAATCACTGATTATTTTTAATCAGTAATTATTGGAAACGAATGATTGATTTTTAAATTAGGTAAATTTACAGGTATTTTGCTTAGATATTTTGCTTAGATAAATCATTATTTCCTAATTGTAATATTAGAATATGAATATCAGTATAATGAAATATAACCAATAGTGTAGTATTTTCATTAGAAAAAGCGAAAATTTCATTTTTTATTTTTTCGACACTAAAAAAAACGAAACTTTTTCAAAATTAAAAGAAAAACTTTTCTTAAAGATATTTTTTTTAACAGAAAAAGAAAATTTTATTAGGAATATAGGGAATTACAGGCAAATTAATTAAGCATACGATATATCACCAAGTTAAACCTATGCTAGTTGTTCAGATAATTTTCTCATTAAACGTAGAAGATGAAAAAAACGGTTGAGCAAAAATAGATAAGCGTAAATGAGATATAAAATTAAAAATAAAAATTAAACCTTTCAAGTTGTAAGATACAATGACATGTTTCCATTGAAAAATAATTGGGATCAAGTTGACAATGTTTGGAAACTGACGAAAGTTCTTCAAAATGGCCAATTTTTGTCAATGTCGTAAATTCATCGTCTGCAAATTTCCATTATACATTTTTGATCTTTTGATAAGAAATAAAATTTACAACATAACCTAACAATCTGTGTAATGATAATAATTAAACAATGAAAATGATCTATTAATTAAACGAAAAATGCAAATTAAGCAAGTAATTAATACATGCTTGATTTCGTAAAACGGGTTAAATATACACATATTAAAGAAAGAAAAATATAAATCAAATAAACAATTTGAGTTTTGTAATAGCAATAATAATTTTGTAATAACAATAATAAAAATAGCAAATAAGAGATATTGATTAATTAGTTTAATTAAATAATCTAAAGAATTTTAATAAATAAAATTGGAAATGAAAAAATTTCCAAAGAATTTACCGTTTTCAATAAGTGGTATGCAATATAATGCAAGTTGTGCTGATGCAGTATATGGTGACCTGTTTTGTAACATTAACTCATCGTTATCCCATAATGGTACTTCAAATGTTCGACGTGGCCATTTCCTGAAATTCTTCGACGAAACGATTAATAGTAATAATAATCCAGTAATTAGTAATAACAAGTGATAATTAATAGTAAATAATCATAATGATAATAATAAAACTAATAATAAATAATCAAAGATGTTTTCAAGGATAGATGAAAAAAGAAAGGATATAAAATATGAAATGATAAAAAATAAACATGTATGATTAACAATAGTAATATTTAAATTAAATTAACATATCTGAAATTAAAATCAACAAAAATATTTAAAATTAGCAAAATTTGAAATTAAAAAATTTATTTAAAATAAATATTGATAGTAATATTTAAAATTCGAAAAAAATTAATTAAATATTAGAAATTAACAAAGTCAACACTTTTTTTATAGGACAAAAAAAATTTTTTGAAATTTTTTATGAAAAAAAATGAGAAAACAAAAAAACCTGCAATGATATTGCACAAAACTTAATGCAATTTCAGTTGGATCACCATTAGGCGGTACATGACAATGCGGTAATTGCATTCGAATTTCATGTCGTGATGATGAACAAGGCTCATTAACAAGAAGCACTTTAAATACATTTCCATTAATCTTATCAGCTTTTTTCTGTTCCATTTGTACCACAGCTATTACAATTTCCATTTCGAAAACATAAAAATTCCTAAAAATTATCAATTATTCAATCAATTTATCAACCATAAAATTTATGCAATGCTTCAATTACACAAATAATTCATTAAATTTATCGATCTATATTTTATGATATCAATAAATCATTGATAAGTAATATCAGTAGAGATATACTTACAAATGTATATACATTTGTAGATGTGAAAAATTGTTGTGAAATAATTCTTAAAATGTGTAATTGTCAAAAGAAAATGAAAAGAGAGAAGAAGAGAAAAAAATTTTTGTGAAATTTTAAATTGAAAAAAGAAAAATTCATGAATGAAATGGCAGATGATAAATGATCATGATAAAGATGTGATTGAAATATTAGTGGAAGAAGAGTTAGTCAATAAATGGTGATAGGAATGATAAGAATATGATTAAAATGCTAGTGAAAGTAAGGTTAATCTATAAATAGCAATAGAATGATAAGAATATATGATTGGAATGTTAATGGAAGTAAGGTTAATTTACAAAGGGCAACAGGAATGATAAGAATGTGGAAGTAAGAAGATAAGAAATGTGGAAATATTAGTGGAAGTAAAATTAGTCTATAAATACTGATAGATATGATAAGGATATGATTGGAATATTAGTAGAAGTAAGATTAATTTACAAATACTAATGTAAATGATAAGAAAATAATAACAGGAATGATAAAGATGTGATTGGAATGTTAATAGGAAGTAATATTAGTCTATAAATAGTAATAGGAATGATAAGTATAGTGATATGAGAGGAAATATTGATGAATCAGAATCAATCAGAAGAAAAAAGAGAAATGGGAGGAAAAGGAAAGGACAGAAAAGGGAAAGTTCCAAAGGGTGTGGTCGTCCGTTTCCGATACCATCTCATCATTTTGAATTCCTTTCTTTTTTTTCTCTCTCTCTCTCTCTCTCTCTCTC